GTAAATTTGAACTTAGGACCTGATTACATCCATCAAAGGCCACGGCAAGCTGTAGCTTAGCTGGTGCAACCCACTGCTGATTGCATGTTTATACCATTTATGTGACAAGATTTCTTACAGTCTGTAGAGTATGATCTGACTACTGGAACAGTGACATTCAGATTAGACTAAAGTGTCAATACAGGCTGATGTTCATAAGGCAAGATGTCACTTTGCAAAAATAAAACTCCCCTAGTGACAGACAGGTGCCCAGTTCACCCTGCCAGACTCCATGGAATGTCTTCTGGGAAACTGGAGACTTTTCTGAAGAAGACACCTTTCACTGCTTCACTGTACTGTAGGTCAAACAGGTTACTTCAGACACAGAAGTTACCCATGGACTACAGTGCTGGTGATGACTATTTTCCTAAGCTAGGTGAACAGGAATATCCCCAGCAATCAAATAACAGTCTTACTGTGTAATATAAATTACACAGAATAGGAATGATCAGTTACTCCCCTGTCCTTCCATATTTGGAAGATAACCTCTTGATTAATCACCATATCCTGAGATGTAAGTGGACATCCACCCTCATAAAGGCAGGCCTCCGACTATGTTCCATGGACGTGCAAGTCCATCAAAGGACCTGCACACCAGGCTGACCACTGAGAGCACACAGTCAACCGTGACACATATCTTTGAACTGCGGAGCATCAGGAGGTAAGTCATGCAGGGGGAGAAGACAAACAAGGTCAGTTTCACACTGAACGCTCTGTAGCTGTGAAGACTTGGTACAACCCGTCACACTGTGCCTAAAATAAACCTCAGCACGTAGCAGTTACATCAGGACAGTGTAACCAAGAATCCATGAAACGCATCTCTTAATGAATGTTTGTATTTTGTAACTGGCCAATAAAGTCCACAGAAATGATGAATAAGGAACCACATGTCCAATCGAATGACTGGATTCTGTTAGCTACCTTCACCAGTAAACCTGAAGCAGATATTTCTGAATAGTCACTACACAAAGACACCTTTCTATTGTGGCACAAAGGATTTACGTTTCTTCACAATTTAATTCATGCTTCATACTGCTGGCTATGCAAATTTGTCAAACTGAATTATATTTTATGTCAGTATGGTCAGAGGAGAATTACTCCCATCTTGCCTACTTTTATCTGCCGTCGGAGCCTCGCACTATTATCTTCCTGTTCTAGAAGAAAAATAATCATACCCAAAAGAAACTCTGGCTCCCATTTCTCTGAACAGGATGCTCATTTCTGTAACAGTGGAAAATGTACAACTGCCTTGGCCAGAAACACCAAAGTGTATGTCTATTTTGGATAATCAGTTTTCTTCAGGGGTTATCTAATATATATTAAACACGAATGAAATGATATATAATTCTCACAGTGTAAAGTTTTTAAGCATTTTGGCCCCTGATTTTATATTATTTTTTTTGTATTTTTTCATTTGTACTGGTTGATAAAATCCCCAATATAAACCTCAAGTGCATCACACAAAATGTGCAATTCATATCTGGCAAACAAGCGAGAGAAGAGGGGAAACAAAAAAGGAGGAAGCCAAGGGGCAGATGGGGTTTTTGGGATGCTTACAGGTTTTCTATATCCCCCCATGTTCCAAAAAAAGGCGGAGAAAGGAAGGCTCTGTGTGCTTGAGGCCCCTGTTATTCCATCTGCTCTGCCCGAGATTTTCAATGAAGAACTAATTGCTTTGGCCAGAGGGAAAGGGGTGAAGCACATTATTAATCTCGGGAGTGTCACTGAGGCTGGCCATGGATGTCCTTTAGATATGGCAGGGCAATCTGTGAGACTCAGGTGAGAGTGCCTTTTGGCTCTGCAGAAGCATCACATTGGCATCCCACTTAGGGGCTGGGCTTGGGAGACCAGCACGGGTGTTGTCAAGTTGGAAAGTGTGCCTTGGAAATTTTTGGGAGAAGGATAGAGAGGAACAAACACATCACAAAGCTGCACGGTGAGCCAATGCAGATGGGAATTGCAATCTAGTTGTTAAAAACCATCATTTATGAGAGCTATCACAGACATGAATTCAATGATGGCAGTCTTAAAAATAAAGATTTCTTAAAAAAAAAAAAAAACTTCAGGCGTTAAAATATAGTCCTCTTGGTTGAAATTGAACGTCAGTATATATTTTAGTAGAAGCTGTGAAAATTTCTCGTTGACAAATTCAGTTCTATCACGTTTTTTTTCTTTTTTGAAAATACCATAGATGTTTGTGTGAATTAAGCTGTCATTTGGTGTTCAATTGAAAGGAAACAGGCTGATATGTATTTAAATTCTGCATAGCTGCGTGCTGCACTCCTTGTGGGACGCTCTGAGTCAAAGTGGTTAAGAAATCATCTACAATTAAACCAGCTACACAGGTACAAATGTGCAGGAGCAGGTAGTTTGATGGGGGGTGGGCATCTGAGGACAGGGCAAACTGTTGCTTTCCGTGCTTCTCTCATTCCTGGATCATGCACCTTGACCCAGATACCGGAATCGGCACAACTCCAAGATGAGACGCTTGTTTTGATTTGCTATTCTGTTGTTTCTCTTTCCTCCAAATTCCCTCCTTTTTAACGCCATATTAACTTTGCACTCAAGGAGTCCCATCCTTCATTACATTTCATTGTTCTGTTTGCGGTCTCATCTGCAACAACTTTCACACAATTTTTAGCCAATTGCGGCTTACACATAACTGCATGATGAATTGAGTATTAAATAGTGCATGAAAGCGTTGAAAAAGAACCACTAAAGTAGAAAAATGTCTAGCCAAAACACTAAGAAATACACTTCTTTTATGACATTACACAAACACACACAGGGTTGGATAAAACTACAGAATAAGGTTGTTTCGAAAGATCATAAACGAAAGTGCTGATTATCACAACACATTTATTGCACATGCTGCATACTAATTATCACTCAACCTTGCATGACTCACCTTTATAGCTGCATTTGTAACTGTGATTGAGTTATGCCAGTTATCTGTAATTTTATCCCCTCTTTGTATGTATATGAACACTAGCCCGGAATGGATTACCACACATCCATTCATTATATTCAGAAGACAGAGCATTGTAATACTTATTTTCTGACAAACTCAAGCTTCTTGGAATAAAAGGTGTTGGATTCATGATTCCTTTGGTCATAATGAGGACGCCTGAATCTGCAGATTGAAAAGTATCCTAACAAATATTAGACCACTCACCATTTGTTTTTTGTTAATGTAAACCTAAACCCATTTATAATCATACTACCCTATGACGTAATTGACTATGTCTTGACTTAGACTTGACTGACATTATTAATGCAGCTTCCATGCAAAACTCCTTGGCTACAGTTACACCTCTGACTTGCTGCTTTTTCATCTGGTTACATTGCTTTCCAAACTACTGTGTCTCCCAGATTGACTGACATTTTCTAGTCTCCCAAGCGGTTGTTGGTCTTACTTTTGTTAATGGGACAGTGGTACCTTCTTCCCTACACCAGGTAAAATGAAAGCCTTTGGAAAGTGTACTTTTTACATTAAGGGTGCACACACACTAGCAATCCTTACTGTGCCCTGGCACGTTTAACCCCCAAAGTCTAGTTTGACTAGTGTGATCGCTCCATATAGACCCCGGGCCCACTTGAAGAGGTGGGCCCTGGAATGGTTCAGCTGAACTGGGGCACAGTACAGTAGGTATCTAGTGTGATCGCTAAGCATGCCTGAGCACGGAACACAAACATGATGTCAGTGACGTGACTGGCACACGCATGTGCACATGTACACTATACATGAACCAGAGTCAGAAAGAACAGATGGGGTAAGCTGTACAGATTGGGTAGCGACAAACATTTCATAAACAAAGGGATCACTTTGGTCTAGGGCAGAGGTGCAGTGCTTGCTGGAAATTTGGCCTGTCGAGAGAATCCAGGAACAACCGGATGCAGCACGTAACAGCTCTCAGACGTGGTAAAATATGGTACTGTCATCTTATACGTGCAGCAAGACAGAATGAAAATCGGTGTGTTGCATATTCGATAAATCTCTAAGAGGTCCATGTGTCATTGTGTCCAACACGACTCAAAATAAGCCACAAAATCAGGGCATTAATCATGGACTCCACTGTACTGTGCGATAGTGATTTTACCCCTATGTTTTCTTCAACACAAAATGTCGCACAGCGATGATGAACACGAGCTTGGTTCAGGTTCATTAAGCGCTAGTTATTGCTACTTTTCATTTAAAACAATTAAACAGCATCCAACAGGTATTCATGAAATAGTAACGTTGAAACAGATTCATACAATAAAGGTTGCGTATTATCCAGTGTATAAATATGCTCTATATTTTCTTTGTTTTCCTAGTTACCTCAGGCCAACAATGATCGGAGGGGTATAAGCTGGAAAAATGGGGATATTCACTTTGTCTTTTATTCAGTGCGCCCACAGTTTCAGACTGAACACGTGCGACGCCACAACACATGAAGTAAAGGAAACAGAAGAGCTGCTCCATCTGAATGTTAGGTCATATTCAAAGGCCTCAATCATTACATGCTTTGACACCAGTCGGAGAATACACAGTAAAGAAGGGAAGCACTGAATGTCATTCCATTTGTTTATATATTATGCATCCGTTCCCCATAATCCACAATTCAAATGCACTGGTCTATTGTATTCATGACTTAAAAATGATGTGTGCTGAAAAAATATACACCCAAAGGAACAATATTTTAAGGTATATTTAGTTTATGTTCACAAAAAAGGCACAACTTCGAACAGACGATTCCATAGTAGGGCTGGGTGATACGACCTCCATTCCATATAACTATTAATTGAACGTTTTACCTCGATTATGATTAATGAACGATATTTTTGTTTTTTTTGTTTGTCATTTGGAAACTCGTATTTCATTGACAAGGTTTGTACTATAAATATGATCAACTACTAAAGCTGGGATATTTTTTCTGATGAAAGACTATATCCTGTGATTTTAAAATAAGTGAAGTAAACACAGATAAACCATTTATTCATTGTATATTTCTACACAACTGAAATCAAAGCATAAATCGTTTGAAATGAGAACGTCTGATGAAAAACCTCACATTTTAATGTAAAAAGCAGGTTCCCTAAAAAAGTAGGAAATAAATAGTTCGCAAACAAAATGAATGTCTCTGGCAAATTACTATCCGTATATTTATGACATGAATATAAGGTAATAAAACAGACAGCTTCATTGTTTTCTTGACTCTCAAAATGCAGTACAGCTGTTTCAAACACTTTTCAAATTGCAGCACTGCATCAGTTTAAGTTACTGAACTGTGTATAATTCACATACACTATAATACAGTATTGTATTTTATATAAATATAGCTTATTGTAGTTTCGCTACTCCATCTTGTTGGCTCATTTTTGGTATTTTATCATAAACTTTGATGAATCTATATTCATAACTGAGAAAAAATGGGAAAAAAAAAAAATCCAGTCAGGTTTTCTGTGCACACAGCATTAGCCTCAGGTATGTAGCTAGCCTGAAGCAGACAGGTTACCACAAGGCAATGTAGGCAAGTAAAAATATGTTATGTATAAAAAGACTCAAAATGAACACTATAAGCAGATTACTTGATTACTATAAGCTAATTATTTAAACACTATTTGATCACTATAACCATGATCATTGTATGCGGTTTCCATTACATTTTAAATATTGCTAGTGTTCTAACAGACTGGTGGTTTTACCTTTGGTAACTGAAACAGTTTTTCCGCAGTCTTTACATTTGACCTCTTTTTGTTCGGTGTCGTCTTCACTAAAGCCACAATGTGTCTAAAAGACGGACACAGCATTTTCCTTTGGTACGGGCTGCTGGAGTTGCTCAGTAGGCTCGGCGTTTGAGTTCCCCTCCATGCTGCTTCCATGTCGCAGACTGAATGAGGCGGAGTAACATGGCAACACACACGGTAGTATGTTTTTAAGGGGACAGTACATGAACACACACTGGGCAAAGTATTAACTGATTTTTTTTAAGTATTAACAGAATTTTAAAAACTGAAGTAACCGACATGGACAATATGTCAATTAGAGCTTCTGAATGTTGGTTTTGATTAATTTTCATTTAATTGCAAAGCTGTTTTCCATAGCAGGAAGACACTTTGAACGTTTATGCATGTTAGATACCCCTGATGTAAACAAACTTGTCACTGTATCCAGAAGTAAGTAATGTGACAGTTTCACTGGATAGATTGCTTCAGACCACAATTAATGTACCTGTATTGCAGTCATGTGACCCATCCATTGGCACAGGAAAGAATGCAATGATGTATTGCAATTTGGGAAAAGAACAACATTTAAAGCTTATCAAAAGTCCAAAACAAGTCAGCAGATGGTCTCCCGAAACATGTTTATGTGTGCTAAATGAGTACATAATACATATATCAGAAAAAAAGAGAATCCACACATCACAGGCAGAACCTGACAGTATTTAGCAACTAACACCCTGGAATTTATTGCAAAAAGAATACAAGTCAAAAATAACAATTAAAAAAAACAATCCATCTACCTGTGGTAAGAATGTCATTAATGACAGTCAAGACAGATGACCAGTAACTTCTGACAAACATGAGTCTCTCTCAGTGACTGTGCCTTCCCCAGAAGCTTCTGTCTGGGGAGAGAGTCTCAGCGAGCCTCAGCTGAGGGTGGACTCCCTCCCCTGCTGGAGGTGTGACACGGAAGCGGCTGTTCTCCATGTGACAGACGCAGCTCGGCAGCTCATTATCAGATTATAATTCGGGACGGACAGGGAAAGAGACGCTTGGGACACAACATTCCATAACAGCAGCAGTCAGGGATGCCAGCAAGAAAATCATGGATACAGCCATGCAATATTCATTCGGTAGATTATTTTTTCATTTATTTGAACAAAAAGGAAACAAAAATGACAGTAATAAGCTACGCTTTACGAAAACAGCCTTTGAATTTCTCCCATTGGTGCTTGACCTTGCTTAGAAATGATATTCTGATCCAAATTTGACATATTCTGCCTCAGGGCTGTCAGCCTGTCGCAAGTCTAGGCAGCTGTTTGCGTTACTATGTATGAAAATAAAAGTACAACAAGGCATTCAGCGCAACAGTTAACTCTCAATAGTACATTTGTGGCGAGTACAGAGAAGACTCCTCACAGGTGCATGATCTCTGAGTCACATGACGTCTTATGGCTGAGACCGGGAGGGCAGATCAGACTATAGTCTGCCGGCTGAAGAGGTCCAGGGTGACGGCGCTCAAGAAGGCTGGGATGCTGTTCTGGTGAAAGAGGTGCAGCTCCACCAGCTCGCGAAGCGTGCGGGAGAAATCCGTCTCCAGGAGCTGCATGCTCCCGCCGGCTGGACCGCTGGCCTGCAGACACACACAGAGAGCCCAGTGTTAGCATCCCCCCCGCTGCAGGAGTACTTCCCTCCCAGCCAGCCGCTGTCCCCGGAGGCAGATGGATGAGCAACAGGATGGAGCTCTGCAGGGCATGCCGTATGTACAAGGTGCGGTACAACACTTCCATTAAGTAGAACGAGGGTGCTGATGCACTTGCACCTCTGTGAACATGCTGGCTTTCCCTCAAACACCAGCAGCACATCAAAAGCATTCTTCACCCACCAAGCACCCAAAGGGACGCACTGTTTTCTTGTTTTTAAGAAGCATTTTCCCTGGGTCCCAGAAGAGCGAGGATGCATCAGTGTCATTCTTTGCCAAATTCAATTTTACCTGGGCATTCTCAGGTGGAATACTTTTAATCAACCCATGGAGCAATTAAAGCAAAAATGGAAGGACTTCAATCCATGCTACCAGCTAATAAGAAAATAACATACACAGCTAGCAGCAATTTGACACAATATTCAAAATAAACATCCATCTTGCAAGCAACAGCACTGTATACAATTTAGCCAAATAGCAACTTAATGCTACTGTCTAACTGGACTTGTCGCAAATAAACATATTCATCTGCCTGGTTTCTAACGAACAAATGAACTGAATCACAATACACCTGAGCTGAAATGTCCAAACATCAATGACATACACAACCCCTTAAGAAGGATTAAGGTGTTTCTTCCCCAAAGGATTAATTTTTTTTTCCCTCTCAGCATGCGAAATCGTGACCTTTATTCATGGCTTAAATGTGAAAAATCCCATATGGTGGTGCGACGAGGGAATGTGAAGCACATCACGAACAAATCTTTTCTGTGTTACTATACAAAAAAACCATTTCACTTAAAGGGAAACAACTCCAAAACAAATCGATTTTGTTTTATGGTAACGCAATTCAACTTTACCCAATTAGCTACATTAATTTGTAGCAATGATGCCTTTAGGTATTAAGTTCCTGCATGTGCTCATGACCTCATGACTGACTTTCTGTGATACTTTCATATAATACAAGCCTAGACAGTCCCTTCCCTTTCTGATGTCATCGAGAGCTCTTTTGTCCACATTTTCATTTCTTAACCCCGGTCAGCACTTGCGATTGGAGGATCTTTCTGGCATCTCACAGCTGAGAAGCACGTAATTATGTCGGATGCATAATGAAATGGGGAAAGCAGCAGCAGCACAGCCTACTGGAGTGAACTGATAAGGGGCACAAACCATTAGTGCTTTTAGAGCTTAAAATGCAAGACAGCAAGGCAGGAGCCTTTTAAACCTGCCCCACGCACCGGCTCCACGCAGACTTTCATCTACTCTCAGTCCAGTTTCCAAGGAGGACTTCAGCACTGAAAGGGTGAAGATCACGTGGGTGATGGGGGGGGGGGGGGGGTTAGGTCTTGTGTTTGTGACAGATGTTCCATTTTTGTGCCTTTTAAGATGACTCCAGGAAACTGAGCAGCAGGTGACCCGTAATGGACCCCCGTCTGCTTGGCCGCACGCGCCGCCGCCTACCCTGACGGAAGCACATGCGGCATCGAGCTGACGCGGGCGTCCTACACTGTGGGCGGTGGAGAGGGAGGGGTGATCCGCCAGGTCTGTGTACTTTTGTTAGCCAGCAAGGGTTTCAGCCCGTGGGGGTTAGTTGCGTTTGAGTCATTGATCGCAATAAAACACTTTGATTAAAACTCCATCCCAGCGACAGTCCGATGTGCAGCCCTTCCCATTCACTGGTTCGCTTTTGGGAGCGTGGTGAAAGGTTCCACCAAGGTACTGTCACTCACAGAATGACGTCTGACATCGGACACCCATTTGGTGTGGAGTAATGCGGCTGCCTTTGCCAGCTCTCTGCACAGTAACAGCACTGACACTGACAAACAAAGCACATCACTACCTACTGTACATACGCAGCTACGAACAGGGACCCCGGCACAAGCAGCAAAACAAGACACATTTACTAGGGCTTAAGTTTTACATTCAGTTCAGTACACAGACTGTCGCTGTTCACTGGCTTTTGACTTTTGTCCGTAATAGTTAATGACAGAATGCAATAACCATTTACACAGTATTTCACTGTGTATGTGAAGGTTACCCTGTCAGTGTTTAGCCTAGTTCTTCTCACTTCTGTATTACACAGCTCTTTAAAAGAAAATTTAGCGCTAGTATCAAATAACTACCATATTTATACCAAATTACAAATTAAGTACCAGTTTCTGCATACAAAATGTTGTTTAAGTTGTTAATTAAGCTGTACTTACTGATTAGGTCCTTGTGTTATTTGATGCTCATTGCTGTTGTCAAATACACTTATTTTAATTGGAGACACAATATAGTATATAAATATTTTGAAATAATTTGATTAATTTCAGAAGGTAAGGCATACTTATGTATAACATACATTATGTACTATAAACAGGATAAAGCAGAGTAAGTCTATAACTGTGGGAATCCTCAGTTACAGACACTAATGAGGCATTATCTCTCTACCTTCATCAGCTTCAGCTTCATCAGAATTCCAGTGTCCCACTGTACGTACCCTACGGCCGCAGGACAGAACTGTGCCATCAGAGGGGTGCAATTCCAGCCCTGGGTATAAGGGACTGCACTTTTTACACAAGGCTAATGTATCAGTGTTTTTGTGGGAGATAGACTGTAGCATGACTTCGGTCCTGCCTTCACTATTACTCGTTGATCTTGGGAGGAAGGTCCTGTGTACCTGGTTGATCCTGGAGTCATTCCAATGTGGCAGATTTATAAATTGGATTGGTCATAAGGACTAGGATGCCATGCAGCTGGCTACAGGGTGGATATGCCCCCCCCCCCCACCCCCCTCCCCGGAATGTATTACGGAACATTACCTAGCACAAAAGCACTGAGTGTATTTATGGAATAAATAAATAATTTTTACAAATAAAAACGCTGAACTGAACTATTCGAAGCACACAGTTTGAACTGCATGAAAACACAGCTTATTTGGTTATAACATCAGCCTCACCATAACAGGCTGCTTGGCAAAACTACAAAACAAACATGCATGTGAGAAGTCTTATGATCCCACACAGTCAAATGGAAATCGTTTACCTCCCCCCCCCCCCAACATCATCTCCCTCTTCTTCACCACAGGACTCCCATCCCTTCTGAAGCAGAAAAGCAGAGGTTGAAGCTTCCCTTGCAACTTCAATAGATCTGAGAGCTGGGAGCATTAATCAGACATGCACAGTGCGTGACTGTCTCAGGCAAAGAAGGAGAGAAGGGTCCCAAAGTTTTATTTCTCTATAATCACTTGATGAGCAACCTTTAAGAGCGGCTATGCAGATTAACTGAATAAATTTCACGAAATAAACATAGCATGAGAGAGAAAAAACGTATAAGTAATGTACAGATGGCAGCCTAGAAGGTGCCACCTGACATGGGATTGTCTGCAAAAGAGACGTCAAACAAATGATCAGGTATTACATGATGTATGACACGCGGTGCGATGGCTACTTTTGAATTTACGCACATAGGAAATAATTCCAATCACCGCTCCCTAAAATGTCCAGTGTCCCCTAAGGTCAGTGATGGCCCTGGGGATTTTCGGTAGAGTGCCTGAGGCTTTCCAATAATCCCTGAAACACCTGTAATCTCAGGGCACTGCTCGGTACACTTTGCTAAGTATTTATACTGGACCTGTGATGTCTAAAGAGTGATTCTTAGAATATTCCTCTTGGAGATCGATTAAAGAATTAGACAGGTGACTATTATGACTGTACTATAATTGATACATTGAATCCAGGTTCCGAGTTCTCTGAATTCAGACTGGAAATAATCATCTGTTTACTATTAGTGATAACCACAGCTTTGAATCAAAGTCATCACTTAATACTTTGATAATAAGAGGAAAGTAAATTTAAAAACAGACTAATACACACCAGCAGATTTATTGTGTTTTTTTTTATGTATCCAAAAGGTTACATTTGATTTCAGTTTCCTTTCCTGATATGTACACACCTTTGCAATTAGAAAAAGGTCAACAGATTCTTTCTAAAGCATTTATTCAAAATATGACCTTATCAGTGTCAGAAAGCAGATCGGAGACGAAAAAAAAAACCTACTAGGAAAATTCAACCTTTACAACACATAACAAGTTTATTGTCGGTAAAATGCTCTCTGCCTAGTCAACACAAAACAGTAATTAATCGACTGCATTAAACGTGACACCGACAGCTGCTGCCGAGTCGTGGGAGTTTCTCAGTCATCGTGGGTGAGGCTGCACTCACAGCACTCCAGTGTCGGCCCCTGGTCCTTTCACAGGTGAGATCTTACATGAAGGGAAAGGCTTGAGGGACCGGCTCTCTATTTTTCCAGGACAGAGACAATGCCCAGCTCAACACCTCTACACCAGCTGCTATTCCACACAGAGTAATACACAGGAAACTGTCAATAATGACTAATGGAGTTCCGCAGTCTAGACCCCACATTACCCAGTCTCAGAAGAGTTCGATACATCTGAGGCACCCGTGTTTACCGATACAAGGGTACAACGCCATTTGCTGAAAAGCCTGCATCCACCACCTGCTCTATTTACACACTTCATCTGGTCAACTGACATCAAAAAAAGCAGCGGTTAATATTAGCTGTAACCAGAGCAACTTACAGCTGTTGATGGAGAATTAATAAGCTACTGTACATAGAAGCCAACACAAAAAGGCAGGTGTTTTGTTCAAAGTAATGACTTCCTGTCACACTCTCAGCTCCGCCCATACACGATCAATCTGCGGCTCGGAATGATCAATATGCATGACAGATTCATACCCAGCTGCACGAGTGAAGACGAAGCCCGGCCGGAGGAGGACGGCAAGTCTATTTAATGACCTGCTGGTGCGACCCCACGACAGTGAGGGGGGAAAGGACGTCAGCTGATTAGACGTCGAACTGAGGCACGCTTAAGAGTCCCGCTCGTTAGGCCAGGCGATGGAGAGAATGCGGCAGCTTGTGAGGGCCACTAA